GGCTTGTGTTTTCATTCTCTTAGCACTGTGTTTCACTGAGCAGGAGTTTCTTGTTTTAATGAAGTCAAAGTTATTTTTATCTTTTGGATCTTGCATTTGCTTTTGTATCTAAAAATTAATCACCAAAACCAAGGTCACCTAGATTTTCTCATATGTTATCTTTTTGGAATGTTGTAGCTTTACATTTTACACTAACTACTCTGACCCATTTTGGGTTAATTTTTATGAAAGGTTTGTGGTTTTTTTTTTGGTTGTTTTTTTTTTTTTTTTTTTTAATTTTATTTATTTGCGGTACGCGGGCCTCTCACTGTTGTGGCCTCTCCCATTGCGGAGCACAGGCTCCGGACGCGCAGGCTCAGCGGCCATGGCTCATGGTCCCAGCCGCTCCGCGGCATGTGGGATCTTCCCGGACCGGGGCACGAACCCGTGTCCCCTGCATCGGCAGGCGGACTCTCAACCACTGCGCCACCAGGGAAGCCCAATTTTTATGAAAGGTTTTAAATCTCTGTCTAGATTCATTTCTTCATTCTGCATGTGGATATCCAATTTTTCCAGCATTATTTGTTGAAGAGACTAAATTTTTTCTAAATTAAATATTGCCTTTGGTCCTTCGTCAAAGTTGAGTTCAGTATTATGTGTGGATCTGTAGGAAAGCACTTGACTTGTGCATGTTAACGTTTTAATCTTCAGCCTTCCTCTACTCTCTTAGTAGTTCAAGGTCTTTTTTTTTTTTTTTTTTTTTTTTGCTCTTGGAATTCTTTGAGGTTTTCTCCAAAGACAGTCTTGTCATATGCCAGCCAAGGCAGTTTTATTTCTTCTCATTTTTTATCCTTTTTATTTACTTTTCCTGTCTGATTGCATTAGCTAAAAATTCCAGTATAAGACTGATAAAGGAATGGTGAGAGGGGACATCCTTGCCTTCTTCTTGATGTTACCGGAAAGCATCTAGGTCTTTCTGTATAGTCCATTTATATTAAACAAGAGGCCAGTTGATGTAGAAGTAGATGTGGGCAGAGGGGAAGCATTCTCTAGGACACTGATTTGATCTCAATCTTTTAGTGATCCTGTATCTCTGGGTTTGACTTTCTGTGATACAATGAGAAAGATGTTTGGTCTTTGTCCCGCATTCCTAGCAAAAACTTTTGAAGTCCTTGGAATGACTTGAGTAATAAGGGTGATAGAGTGTCTTTTGTTTTAAGTAAATTATGAAACCTGATGGTGTGTCAAGGAAATCTATGATTTGTAGACGGCTGGGGAGAAACGTTGGTAACCAAAGCACGCCATTTGTGTCTGGCATCTGAAGTAGAGGCATTGTCTAGTACTGAGCGCTTAAATCTATAGAGTGTAACATATGTGATTTAGTGTTAGAATTGAATTGAACATCTATTTGGACATCTATTTGGTGACAGAGAGTTGGAGAAGTGGCATTGGGACACCACATATTTGTTGTTAGGAGGGGAAAAAAACACTTTTATCCTCAGAGGTGCCCCCACCTTTGAGAGCAGAAAATGCTAAAAGAGACTCACGTTGGCTATTTCCCTACAGCCACAGGTCAGTTAGGCTCTAGCAAAATCCCAGTTAGTTGCGCGCTTGTGAAATAGATTGTTTTCAGGACAGGCTTGTTAAAAAGAAGAAACTATTCTGGGTATGTTTTTATTTATTTATTTATTTTTATTTGTTTATTTTTACAGTTGATTTACAGTATTATATTAGTTTCAGGTGTACAGCACAGTGATTCAGTATTTTTATAAAAATATGGAACACTTCATTAATTTGCATGTCATCCTGCTGATCTTCTCTGTATTGTTCCAGTTTTATTTAAAAATTTTTATTGGAGTACAGTTGATTTACAATGTTGTTTTAGTTTCAGGTGTCTGGGTATACTTTTTTGTTTCTATTTCTAATTTGGAGACAGCAGTTTACCCTGTGACCTCAGTTCTCTGGTGGAAGAGTTGTTGCTTTTAAGTTTCTTGGCTTTTTTTCTTCTGAGGACTAGAAGGTACCAGAAGCTGACTTCCAAGCTCCTTAGATACCAGAACAGACCATAGATAAGAAGTCTCTGACTCCTTTTTTTGATGTTTGACTGCTAACAACTTTAAACCTTACTTCCTCTTTCTTTCATCTACTTGTGCCCACATCTGTACATGGTGATAAGAAAGCCTCAGTCTCCCTTCCTTTGATTCTGGCAAGTGATTGAATCCACAGAAGGCCTTGCTCGTGTACTTGAATTCTCACCCTATACCATCCCCTAAGCTCAATAAAAAACCCAGGCCAGGCTCCTTTCCTTCTTTCCTTGATGTCTCAAGGCATTTTTCACCTTCTTCAGAAGCTTCCTTTCCTTTTCCCAAACACTTCCATTATAGAAGTAAGAAACCCTTTTCATGCTCTTTACGTGTGTATGTGTTATCATCAGTGCAGACATCTGAACTAAATCTCGGGCGAGGCTTCATCTGTCTTTGCAGGAGACCATAACAGTTACAGAATAGGTAACATGCTGCACTTTTTGCAGTACTCTTTGTTTTACTGTTTTATTGATAAAACCTTCAGATCTGTTGATATTAGTGTATGCCACCCTTGTATATTTCTCCAAGTGCAACTATGCAATAAATTCTGTGGACATTGTTGGGAATTGCTGGGCTGTAAATAGTGATCAAGTTCATATTCACAGGAAATAGCAATGGAGTATATCACTTGGCCATTCCATTCCTCCATTTGTGCATAATTTAATGATTTTTCCCCCCAATGGTCTTCAACACTTGGGATTTTCTTTTTCTTCTTCTTTTTTTTTTTTTTCTTGGCTGCTTTGGGTCTTCGTTGCTGTGCGCGGGCTTTCTGTAGTTGTGGCAAGTGGGGGCTACTCTTCGTTGCAGTGCGCAGGCTTCTCATTGCAGTGGCTTCTCTTGTGGAGCATGGGCTCTAGGGCACGCAGGCTTCAGTAGTTGTGGCATGCAGGCTCAGTAGTTGTGGAGCACAGGCTTAGTTGCTCCGTGGCATGTGGGATCTTCCCAGACCAGGGATTGAACCTGTTCCCCTGCACTGGCAGGCAGATTCTTAACCACTGCACCACCAGGGAAGTCCCAACACTTGAGATTATTAAATTGACTAAGTTTTGTTCTAATCACTGTGAAATGGGATTTACTGGACATATTAGTGTCCTATTACCCAGTTGCCAAGGTGATAGACATTTTTTCATATATTATCCTTTTCATATCTGTTAAATATGTTTTGCTTCTTTTTCCATTTTAAAATTGTCTCTGTTCATTTTAACTCTACAAAGTAGCCCTTTTCTATTTTTATATCTGTGTGCATTGCAGATATTTTCCTTTTTATGTAATTTTTTTTTTTTTTTTTGCGGTACACGGGCCTCTCACTGTTGTGGCCTCTCCCGTTGTGGAGCACAGGCTCCGGATGCACAGTCTCAGCGGCCATGGCTCACGGGCCCAGCCGCTCCACGACATGTGGGATATTTCTGGACCAGGGCACGAACCCGTGTCCCCTGCATCAGCAGGCGGACTCTCAACCACTGCGCCACCAGGGAAGCCCTATGTATCTTTTAACTACCTTAATTTTAATACATTTGAATTTGTCTTTGTCTTTATAGATCATTCTTTTGCTTATATGAGATACTCTTTCTATTCTTCTATCAATAAAACATTTACCTGTGACTTCTAAAAGTGGCCTAGTTTTATCTTTCACATTTAAATCTACAATGAGGAGGCCATTGTCTATGGAATGAAGGGAAATATGCTGCATTTTTCCTACTGGATAATAGTTTGTCCCTTATGTAGTCAAGTGTTCATGATATTTGCCACTACTCTCCTATTCTGTCCTTGAACAACTTTCCATATTAAATGCTGGTCTATGGAAGACACTTTTCCTTTCCTTTGTTCTGTTTGTTTTTCTTTCTGCTAATACTTGTATCCTCTGAATTACCATAGAGGTGTGTTAGGTAGACTGCCATGTTTTTCCATAGAAGACTTTGTCCATTTTTGGACATTCCTTCTTTGTATTAGGTTTGGAGGAGTAGCTTTTATCGAGTCCTAAAAACTGTTTTAGGTATTTGCGAAACTTAATAAATGTATCATTTGGGAGAGATGACATCTGGGCGACACTGAATTCTTTCTAAGAACACATGCCATCATTTTACTTACTTCAGTCTACTTTAACATTACCCAATAATTAAAAAAAATTTTTTTACATGAGGATCATTAAATATTTTGTATTAGTCTTGTTTAGTATTGAATTAAATTTGGTGTGGAGGAAACCAGAAGCAAGCTCTCAAATGTTGTCTCTTGGTGTTACCATGTAGGATGGGCTCAGTTCTCCAAGTAACAGATTAGAAACTCAGTGACCATTGTTGTTTAGGGAGGTGGGTACTGATCAGGTAGGCACCTTCTGCTGAACATGACACAAAATTACCACTCTCCAAAGGAAAACAGGAGTTTACCATATACACTTTAGGCTCACTGAGGCACTTTTATCTGTAAGGTTGGTCAGCTTACTCCCAAAAATCACAGATCCCAGATACTAGTGAAAGATGAAATTTGTGAGCAAGCATTTCTAAGGCTAAGCATTCTTGGGCCTGCTAATATTCACTGTCTTTTGCACACTAGGTAGTTGGATTTTGTTATGAGCAAGTGCTGTTGTTCCAGTGAAGAAAGAGTAATTAGGGCTGCCCTAGGCCGCTCCTCTTACTCCCTGGACCCACAACAAGAGAGGTGTTCCTTCGTTGATGTTGCTCTACCAAACAAGCTAATTCTAGCATCAGAATTGATGGATGGGAGCCTTTTTTCTGTTCCCTTCACATGGACATCAACGGGTAATTGGTCTCTTTCAGGGACCAGCATTTAGGAAATTATGCCACTGCGGAATTCCTATACCTAGGATGGGCTGTCATGCTGCTGTGCCCCACCTGGGAGCTCAGAAATGAGAGAAGGTGGGAGGACAGCCTCTAGAGTGGCTGGTCAGGTATCACTTGCTGATATAAGAGAAAAGGGTTTTGTGGGTTTTTTTGAGAAAGCACTGTTGAACTCTTTATGTATTTTTATAATTTGTGCAAATTCACCATGAAACCATTGAAGATTTCAATGAAGCCCTTGCAAACTTTGTCTTAACCTGTTCCCCAAGGTCATCAAGGCCCAGATTATAGTTGTATGATTCTGCCAAAATGAGGTCTTCTGTGATCTTATCATCTCAGTATGGGTGTTCTAAAAATTGTTCAGAAGCCATCCCAAGGCACATGAATATAGGGATTTTGTGGAGGTGTGAGTTGTCCTGTTTTCCTCCTCATGTCTCGGCTCTGACTCTGAATAACTTCCTAGCCCCATGAAATGAGACAGAGAAAGGAAAGCAAAACTGAGTATGTGATAAATATTATATAAATTTTAATTTATACTCCTCCACAAGAATATTTTCATTCACCCACCTGGATCTGACTACTTCTGTTAGCCTGGAGTACTTCAGGACAATATGACTAGCTGGATCTTGTTACAGGTTGGATTTCCACAGGACTTTTGGCCTCGTGTCTGATGATGAGAATAGAAAGAAAACCTTCCAGTTCTTCACTGTGTTGTTATTTGTTAAAACCTCATGCAGATGTGAACCTGTGCTCGTACAGTGCTGCACGATATGGTGGGTACTAAAGAGGGAATGAGAAAGTTTTTATCAGAATGAACCGGTGTGCTTAAAATGGACTATTTCTTTCATCTGTGTAGCAAGTTTCTCTTATTTCTCCAAGGTGCTCTATGTCTTGACAGAGAGGAATAAAGACTTGAAGTGATCACAGTACAAATGTAGCAGTAAATTCGTTGTGTTCATGATGCTCTTGAATTCATGAGGGAGTGTCACCATAGAGTGAGAGTTCTAATGACAAAGTTATAGAACAAATGTTGGGAGACCGCAGAGTCATATGTGAACTTCCTATGAATTGAGTATAGATTGCTGGTGCTCTTCATTCTGTCCATTCTCTCACATACGTATTTGGGATGTTTTAGGATTCAGTGACCTTTGAGGATGTGAGTGTGAAGTTCACCACAGAGGAGTGGGCTCTGCTGGATCTATCCCAGAAGAAACTCTACAGAGATGTGATGCAGGAAACCTTTAAGAACTTGACCTCAATAGGTAGGGATGATGACATTCTTACTTAATTACTTAGTCAATTAGAGAACCAGTGTTGCTTGCTTATCAACATTTTCAAGAGGTGAAATGTGGAAAGGGACTACATTAGTAAATAAACCAGGCATGGTCATAGTTCATCATGGACCTGTCATGTAACAACTTTTCTCTGATATTTTATAACTTATAATGATTTTTTTTGTTGTTGGTCTGCATTTTAGGAGAAAAATGGGAAGACCCTGATACTGAAGATCAGTATGAAAATCATGGGACAAATCTAAGGTGAGTTATATTCACATGAGAAAGCAATGTCCCATGACAGAATGTTAGTATGCCATGATATTTTTTGTTTTATTCAAGTACAGTTGATTTACAATGTTGTGTTAGTTTCAGGTGTACAGCAAAGTGATTCAGTTATACGTATATATATATCCATTCTCTTTCCAATTCTTTTCCATTATAGGGTATTCCAAGATATTGAATATAGTTCCCTGTGCTATACAGCAAGTCTTTGTTGTTTATCTGTTTTATATAGAGTAGTGTGTATCTGTTAATCTCAAATTCCCAATTTATCCCTCCCCCACCCTTTCCCCTTTGGTAACCATAGTTTGTTTTCTATGTCTGTGAGTCTATTTCTGTTTTATAAATAAGTTCATTTGTATCATTTTTTTGGATTCCACGTGTAAGTGATACCACATTTTCTTTATCCATTCATCCGTGATGGACGTTTAGGTTACTTCCATGTCTTGGGTGTTGTAAATATTGCTGCTATGAATACTGGGTGCATGTTTCTTTTCGAATTAGAGTTTTTGTCTTTTCCAGATATATGCCCAGGAGTGGGATTGCTGGATCATATGGTAATTCTATTTTTACTTTTTTATGGAACCTCCATACTGTTCTCCAGAGTGGCTGCACCAATTAACATTCCTACCAGCAGTGTAGGAGGGTTCCCTTTTCTCCACACCCCCTCCAGCATTTATTGTTTGTAGACTTTTTAATATGGCCATTCTGGCCGGTGTGAGGTGATACCTCGTAGTTTTGATTTGCATTTCTCTGATAATTAGTGGTGTGGAGCATCTTCTCAGGTGCCTGTTGGCCATCTGTGTGTCTTCTTTGGAGAAATGTCTGTTTCAGTCTTCTGCCCATTTTTTGATTGGGTCCTTTGGTGTTTTGATATTGAGCTGTATGAGCTATTTGTATATTTTGGAAATTAATCCCTTGTCCGTTGCATCATTTGCAGATACTCTCTCCTATTCAGTAGGTTGTCTTTTCATTTTGTTTATGGTTTCCTTTGCTGTGCAAAAGCTTTTAAATTTCATTAGGTTCCATTTGTTTATTTTTGCTTTTGTTTCCATTACTCTAGGAAACAGATCCAAAAAAAATATTGCTGCGATTTATGTCAAAGAGTGTTCTGCCTATGTTTTTCTCTAGGAGTTTTATAGTATCCAGTCTTACATTTAGGTCTTTAATCCATTTTGAGTTTATTTTTGTATATGGTGTTAGAGAATGTTCTAGTTTCATTCTTTTACATGTGGCTGCCCAGTTTTCCCAGCACCACATGTTGAAGACACTGTCTTTTCTCTATTGTATATTCTTGCCTTTTTTGTCATAGATTAATTGACCATAAGTGCATGAGTTTATTTCTGGGCTTTCTATCCTTTTCCATTGATCTATGGTCTGCTTTTGTGCTAGCACCATACTGTTTTGATTACTGTGGCTTTGTAGTATAGTCTGAAGTCAGGGAGCCTGATTCCTCTAGCTTCTTTCTTCTCTCTCAAGATTGTTTATGCCATGACATTGTAAAACAAAGAAATAAATCATCCCAGCCTTAAAATTAATGAATCTTAGAATTTTTGCATCAAACCTTTTTTCTCAAATGTGTCCTAAATGTTGAGTGTTTGAAAAATAGTACACTTGGAATCAGTATTCAGACTCACCATTTATGAATATTACTGTTTTGATAATTGCTATGATTATCTTGCAGAGCTTTAGTAAATTCACTTTCAATCAGAATGTGCAGAAAATGTGCACTTTCCTTTAAAATGGTAAAATTTTCATTGTCATAACTATTACTAAATATAATTAATAAACAATTCATTAATAATATCCTTCTTATTTTTTACAGCAGTCATATGGTAGAGAGACTCTGTAAAAATAATGAAGGTAGTCAGTATGGGGAAACATTTAGCCAAATTTCAAATCATAATCAGAAAAAGAAAACTGGAATAAAACTATGTGAATTCAGTGTATGTGGACGAATCTTCATGCGTCATTCATCCTTTAATAGGCACATGACATCTCGCACTACACCCAAACCACGTGAGTATCAGGAATATGAGGAGAAGCCATATAAATGCAAGGAATGTGGGAAAGCCTTCAAGCATCGTCAGTCCAGACATACCCATGAGAAAATTCACACTGGGGAGAAGCCCTATGATTGTAAGAAATGTGGGAAGGCCTTCAAGCTTCGCCAGTCTATTCAAAGGCATGAAAGGATTCACACTGGAGAGAAACCCTATGAGTGTAAAAGGTGTGGAAAAGCCTTCAGATATCACCACAACTTTCAAAAACATGAACGAACTCATACTGGAGAGAAACCCTATAGATGTAAGCACTGTGGTAAAGCCCTCAGTTCTCTCAGATACTGTCGAATTCATGAAATAACGCACACTGGAGAGAAACCTTATAAATGTAAGCAATGTGGTAAAGCTTTCAATTGTCCCAGTTACTTTATAAAACATGAGAGAACTCATAGTGGATTGAAACCATATGAATGCAAGCAGTGTGGTAAAGCCTTCAGTTGTGCCAGTTACATTCGAAGACATGAAAGGACACATACTGGAGAAAAGCCCTATGAATGTAAAAAATGTGGTAAAACCTTTAGTTGTTCAAGTTCCTTTCGAAAACATGAGAGAACTCATACTGGAGAGAAACCCTATGAATGTAAGCAATGTGGTAAAGCCTTCAGTTATTCCAGATCCTTTCGAAGTCATGAAAGGAGACACAGTGGAGAAAAGCCCTATAAGTGTAAAAATTGTGGTAAAGCTTTCAGTTGTCCAAATTCCTGTCGAAAACATGAGAGGACTCATTCTGGACAGAAACCCTATGTATGTAAGGAATGTGGGAAAGCCTTCAGTTATCTTGCCAAATTTCAAAGACACATGATGAAGCATACTGGAGATGGACCTTATAAATGTAAAGACTGTGGGAAAGTCTTTGATTGTCCCAATTACTTTCGTTGTCATGAAAGGACTCACAGTGGAGAAAAGCCATATAAGTGTAAGGAATGTGGTAAGGCCTTCAGTTTTCTATGTTGTCGTCAAATACATGAAAAAAGTCATACTGGGGAGAGGCCCTATGAATGTAAGCAATGTGGCAAAGCCTTCACTTATCTCAGTTCCATTCGAAAACACGAAAGAACTCATACTGGAGAGAAACCCTATGAATGTAAGGAATGTGGAAAGGCTTTTATTTATCCCTCAAATGTTCAAAGACACATGATAATGCATACTGGTGATGGACCTTGCAAATGTAAGGATTGTGGGAAAGCCTTTGATTGTCCCAGTTCTTTACAAGCACATAAAAACACTCACACTGGAGAGAAACCCTATCAATGTAAAACTTGTAGTAAAACCTTCAGTTGTCCCAGTTCTTTTCAAAGCCATGAAAAAACTCATAGTGGAGAATAGCACTATGAATGTAAGGAATGGGTGAAAGCCTTTATTTTTCCCAGTTCATTCCAAATACATAAAAGAGCTCACACTGGAGAGAAACCGTATTTTTGCAAACAGTGTGGCAAAGCTTTCAGCACTCTCTGTTATATTCAGATACATGAAAGAACTCGTACTAGACAGAAACTGAATGTAAGGAATGTGGGGAAGCCTTCATGTATCACACGTTTCCAAGGACACATGAGAGTGCACACTGGAGAGAAACAGTATATATGTAAGGAATGTGGGAAAGCCTTCAGTCCCATTTCCTTGGAAAGCCACGAAAGAACTTGCACTGGAGAGACTGTATTGAATGTAAACTATGTAGGAAAACCTTCACTTGCCCCACATCTTTACAAAACTATGTGAAAATGTACATGCGGGGCTTCCCTGGTGGCGCAGTGGTTGGGAGTCCGCCTGCCGATGCAGGGGACACGGGTTCATGCCCCGGTGCGGGAAGATCCCACATGCCACGGAGCAGCTGGGCCTGTGAGCCATGGCCGCTGAGCCTGTGCATCTGGAGCCTGTGCTCCTCAATGGGAGAGGCCACAACAGTGAGAGGCCCACATACCGCAAAAAAAAAAAAAAAAAAATGTACATGCATTAGAAACTTTGTAACTGAAAAATTAGGGAAACTTTTCAATTTTAACAAATATTTTCAAAGTCATATGAAAACTGCACTGGAAAGAAATTATCTCCATGTAAGTACTATGGGTACACTGTCTGAAAATTCACAACATGAAAGAAATGTTATAAATTTTCTTTGTAATTGACTCATTCTTAAAGTGATTCTCTCTAGTATGGATTTCTAATTTGTTTTCAAAGTACACATTGAAGTGAGATAATTTTGTAGATACTCATTAAGCAAGAGTTCCTTAAAAATTAATAGGTAGTCTTTTAGTTATTTAGTAATTTTTTGTGTGTCTATTTTGAAGTCTATTGGAACCATGAATTGAAGTTTATTTCTAGTATGCAAGTAGGTTTAATTTTTACCTAATTTTGTAAGTTATATGTAAGGAAAAGAACATTGAAAAATGCTGGTTTGGTTTTTTTTTCCTACTGGCTTCCTGTGGCAAGTACTGGATATGCCTTATTCATTTTATAAATATATATATATATATATATATATATTCCACCTTATTTAGCAGAAAACTATCTTTTTATTGCCTAAAGATCCTTATTCTATTTTCCGTGGAATATATAATTGCTATATACTTGTAAGTATGCAAAGTTTATCATAGTGCAGTCTCTTGTGAATTATCTTCATCTTTTGTCCTTTACACTTTGTCATTTCTTTTGATTGGGATTTGGACTATGGAATTTACATTAAGAAGAGAGACCGGGCTTCCCTGGTGGCACAGTGGTTGAGAGTCCACCTGCCGATGCAGGGGACACAGGTTCGTGCCACGGTCCGGGAAGATCTCACATGCCACGGAGCAGCTGGGCCTGTGAGCCATGGCCGCTGAGCCTGCGCGTCTGGAGTCTGTGCTCCACAATGGGAGAGGCCACAACAATGAGAAGCCCGCATACTGAAAAAAAAAAAAAAAGAAGAAGAGAGACGTGTGAAAGGACAATAAAATTTAGATTTGGCAATGTCCCTTGATCCTGTTATATTAATGTGAGTAACATGAACTATATTTTCTAGAATGTGTTGCCTTATGATCCCATGTGAGAAGTCACCAAAGCCTAACTTACATGAAACTTGGAATGCAGAAATGAAGTATGATTTAGTCAGGTTTTGAAGTCACCTGTATGGAAGGAGACAGAAGCATAGGGCCTTTGTAGACACTTGCTTCCAGCCCGTTTTCCACATTATTTTCCCTATCAGTCAAGTATATCCTCAAAACCACCGTAGACTGCTTGACTTCCACTTGATCTGAGATGTAGGCTTCTACAGTTTTCCCCAAATTCAACATTAAAGATCCAATACAGTTTGGATTTTCCTGCAAGCTCTCATGTGTCCACCTTGTAAGAAATTTAGACTGTCATGGTTAAGAATATTCTCTGAAGCACTGAGTGCCCTGTTCTCTAGATCTTATTTGTATAAGGTCTAATTTGTAAGCACCTTGTTCTGTTTATACTGCTCCTGACTATGTGCTCCCCATTCCACTATGACAGTTACAGTGGTACAATCCAAAAGAACTACATGAGAGTTTGTTCCTCTACTGCACTGTGCAGTGACTGCTCTGATGCAGTCCTTCTGTGTAGCATCAGCACCTTCCTCATATCCGGCAGGTTCTGTGTGTTTCCTGTTATTCGTAGCTGAGTGTAATCCCTAATATGTCTTCAGTCATGTTTTATTGTATTTAATTTAAAGTGTGGGGCTTCCCTGGTGGCACAGTGGTTGGGAGTCTGCCTGCTGATGCGGGGGACGCGGGTTCGTGCCCCGGTCCATGGGGATCCCATGTACCGCGGGGTGGCTGGGCCCGTGGGCCATGGCTGCTGGGCCTGCGCGTCCGGAGCCTGTGTTCCGCGGCGGGAGAGGCCACAACAGTGAGAGGCCTGCATACTGCAAAAAAAAAAAAAAAAATGTGTACATTTTCATGTCAGGACTCAGCTCACCCACCAGCAGTGTTGCCAGTCATCTCCACAAATTAAAATCTCATGGGTGCAAATTAGACACTGATGTCAAGGAGAAAGGGTTCAGTTAAGAAGGTGGAACCACCATGGGAGGAATCGATGAGGTCTAGGGGAGTATGATTCCACAACTGGAGAGATTATAAAAATATCTAGCAAAATAGACTTTATTTTTTATTTATTTATTTAATTTATTTACTTTTGGCTGCGTTGGGTCTTGGTTGCTGCACACGGGCTTTCCCTAGTTGCAGCAAGTGGGGCTACTCTTGGTTGAGGTGCACAGGCTTCTTGTTGTGGTGGCTTCTCTTGTGGAGCACGGGCTCTAGGCGTGCGGGCTTCAGTAGTTGTGGCACACAGGTTCAGTAGTTGTGGCTCACGGGCTCTAGAGCGCAGGCTCAGTAGTTGTGGTGCACATGCTCCGCAGCATGTGGGATCTTCTCAGACCAGGGCTTGAACCCATGTCCCCTGCATTGGCAGGGGATTCGTAACCACTGCCCCACCAGGGAAGCCCCCAAAATAGACTTTAAAGCAAAAAAAATATAATTAGAGATAATGAGGAAAATTATATCATGCCTAAGGAGTCAAAGTTTATAGTTTGCATCTAAAATAGTACATAGAAATGTTTCTATTTGCAATTAATGCCTCTGTTAACAAGAGATCGCAAATCAATAACCTAACCTTTTACCTTCTTGACCTGAAACAAATAGACTACAAGATACTACTCTAGCCAAGGTGAGTTTATTCAGGATCGGCGGAGCACTGCAACTCGTGGTCTGCAACATGGTGAGTCACATTGCAGGTTCCTGCACAGCAAGGGAAGGTGAACACTTGTGTAGAGCAGAAAAGAAAGTTGGAAGGGCTGTAATAAACAGAGCATCAGTGACTTTTCATTGGCTGAGTCCTTGCCAGGAAAGAAGCGGTATCTTTCTTCTTTCCTGTTGGGCTCCACTGTCATTGCAGGATGTGAGAGCTCCCCCTTGTGGTCTGCCCACTCTATTTGAGGTTTCCGTGTATTCATTTTTTCCATTTTCCCCTTTTGATGAAAATCTTTCTCTGAAAGCATCGTTGATCAAGAGTCAGGTTTTCTATATAGTTTCAGCAGCTTTTTCCCCTCAATGTCAGGGTTTCCTGGGTTTAGTATCTCATGTCAAAGGGAAAGTGACCAGATAAGAAACCTACTAAGGTCACATTTGAGTAACAAGAAGGGGTAAGAGAGAGAACCTTCAGGCACTTTTTATCTAGTCCATATGTTATTAAGATAATAAGCATTGGCTATCATCTGAAGAGTTATGTCATCATCAAGGGTTTGGCAACAAACTTCCAGCAGACTTGGTCCTGATATCTTGGGAAAGCTGTCTCATCAAATCTTGTCTGCTTCAATTCTGGGAAATCTTTACTTGCAGGTCACCAGATGATGTGCAGCTCCAGTCAGGGTTTGATGTTTTCTTTAGGTGTGTCATAGATGTGTCACGTGAATCCAAGAGTCCATTCCTTGGAATCTGATGGCACAAGGGTTGGTCAGCAGTACTTGATAGGGGTGTTTCCAATGAGCTTGAAGAGAGTTCTTCTGGAGGTGTATTTTTGAATAAATGAAATCTCCAGGTTGCAAGATGTGATACTTAAAGGTCTTTGTTTCCCAAGGGTACACTGTGAAAAGACTCTTCTACCAAAACATGATTACTTTTCATAGAAACAATTAGGCCTTTGCAATGTTGGAGCATCTCCCCTTTTATCAGTTGTGGGTCAAAAGAAGCAGTAGGTCAAGTGCGTTGGGTGTCCTGTGACTGTCTCAAAGGGTGAGAGTTTATGAGTTCCAAAAGGGGTGGGTCTGAGATTTAGAAGAACTAACGGCAGTGCGTTTGGTCAAGGTATTTGTAGGACCTCAACAAATTCTGCCCATTGAGTCTTAATACCATTAGTGTGTTTGACTAAACCAGACGATTGAGGGTGGTAAGCACAGTGACAGTGCTGCCTGTCAAACAGCAGAGACTTGTCAAAGCACCTAACCAGTAAAGTGGGTTCTTCAATCACTGTGAAATTTGAGGAGTTCCCCTGGTAGGGATAATCTTTTCCAAAAGGATTTTAGCCACAGTAGAGGCAGTAGCATGTCTGAAGGGAAGGCTTCAGTCCGGTATGAAAACATAACAGACCATGTCTTAAACATATTTATATCCATTAGACAGGAAGTTGCATGAAATCTATTTGCTGGCCTCAAATGGTTCATTAGGCAGTTTTATTTATTTTTATTTTTTAATAAATTTATTTATTTATTTATTTTTGGCTGCATTGGGTCTTTGTTGCTGCACGTGGGCTTTCTCTAGTTGTGGTGAGCCGGGGCTACTATTCATTGCAGTGCACGGGCTTCTCATTGCAGTGGCTTCTCTTGTTGCGGAGCACGGGCTCTAGGCATGTGGGCTTCAGTAGTTGTGGCACTCGGGCTCAGCACTTGTGGCTCGTGGGCTCTAGAGCACAGGCTCAGTAGTTGTGGCAAATGGGCTTAGTTGCTCCACAGCATGTGGGATCTTCCCGGACCAGGGCTTGAACCCGTGTCTCCTGCATTGGCAGGCGAATTCTTAACCACTGCGCCACCAGGGAAATCCCCATTATGCAGTTTTAAATGTTTATTGGCGAAACAGACAGGCTTCACTGGGCTATGCTTTGGACAAGTGGGACAAGTGAGGTAGGCACTTTTTGTGGACTTGTTAATGTTTCCCCACCAATATTGAGTGATGAAGGATATCATTTGGTCAGTTGACCAATGGTTTAATGCATGGATAGTGGTAAGGAGTGGGAATTTTAGAAACTCTGGTAGGAATGGATTGGTATTTTGTCCAAACAAGAGCTTTCTCTTTTTATCAAACCAAAAGTTGTTGAATTTCCAATCTTGTTTTTC